GGTGATACCTTTCAATCATTGAAGTATTTTATACTATATAAGTTGTTATTTTTTTTATCATATTTTTATCGATGTGGGACTTATTTGTATCTCAACAGTAATCAATATTGATGTAAGTGATATCAATTTATATATTTTTAAATAAATTATTAAAGATTTAAATTATGTCTTTTAGATATGAAATAAATTATATTAAAAAGAAAATATATTTATATATGTTTATGATTTTCGATAAAAATTAGTGATTTACCAATAATCTAATATATAATATGTTTATGATTCTAAGGCTTCATGCATATGTACATGCATCCTCCCATGGCAGAATTCCGGAAACAAAATGGTGCTCTGGCTTATATATATAATAATAATAATAATGCACTGTAGAATATCATCTTCCTTTTTCCTAGACTTACGTACATGCATCCAGCCATAGCACAATGACGGAAATAAATTTATTTTAAAATATGTTCCTTCATTTGTGTGGTTCATGCATAGAAATATTCCCTTTTACTAATTAATCCGGCAATTGAGGATTTATGTAATGAGTTTGGATTTCTTATCAACACATTTTGATTCATTTTTTTTATACCAAAAAAATATGATTTGAAGAAAAAATAAAATAAAATTCTAACAAGGATTAATCATTAATAAAATTAGAAAATATTAAAAAAAATTCAAGTCCCATATTGACATTAGACTCAAATATACTATTTTAAGATAATATTAGAGCTATCTTAGATCATTAAAAAAAATCACATATCCTAAATCATTCAAAAGGAACATTCACCATTTAGAGATAAGACAATTAAATAGTATATAAGTAGAGAGCAATCCTTACTTTACAAGCAGATTTTGTATACTTGAATTAGACTAAAATCCATTATTCTAAGATGATATTAAAACTATCCTAAATCATTAAAAAAATCATATTTCCTAAATCATTCAAAAGGGTCACCCATCATTTAAAGATAAGACAATTAAATAATACAGAAGTAGAGAACAATCCTTACTTTACAAGTTGATTTTGTAGGCTAGAGTTAAACTCAAATTCACTATTCTAAAAATAAATATATAAGTTTGTTTTCAATAATTTTGACAATAGATATATGGTCATCTTTTACATTCGAGTAAGATTAGCAATCTACCAAGAATTGACCTAGAATTTTTTATTTTTATTGAAAAGCCAAGCTAATTTCAATTTTAGTATAATAAATAAAGTTTCAATTTAATATTTGTTTGGTTTATAGATTTTATTTTTCTTGCATCATTTTTTAAAAATATATTATGAGAATAATCTATTAAACAAAAAATCTCGTGTTTCATCATTATCATGTATAAAAGTCTTTTAGGTCAACTTACAAAAAATTATTAAGAGTTCTCAAAACAATAATTGTATTTTCATATAAAACAAATATAAAAACAAATAAAAATAAACACCCAATTTAATCCCTAAATTTGTAACCTTATGTTACTTCAGTATTTAGAATTAATGAAATTAAAAAAAAAAAAAAAATCCTCGAAATTGATCTGCATTCCTCAATTTAGTCCTCAAACGGATCTATATGTTACTTAACACCGTTAGCAATGCTTACTTGACCACATCACAGGCCCAAAACGAAAGGAAAAAAAAATGGTTGTTGAACCTCTTCAAGTCCATGACGACCCAACCATGAAAACCATCAACAAGGTTTGGAAGACTGTTGCTAGCAACCACACCCACAACACTGACAACTATGACAACAAATTGCATATTAGTTCTAATTAGGGAAAGTTTTACTTGTGCATGTTATTCACCATAAACCTTGGACCCTAGTTAGTGTGGGTTTGATTCGATGATGATAATCCTATTAGTACCTTAAATAACTTATAAAACTAGTTCTCTTTTTTATGTTTCTCCATTTTGGATTTTACAATTCATTGTATAACCTGTGTTGGAGGAGGTGGCATGATAGTTTGAAAAATTGAAAGCAAATAATTTGTTTCAATTGAATAATGGTTTCTTTGTGCATGTTTGTGGGTTGCATGATTTTTACAATTAATTCATTGTATAAGTCTATCTCCGTCCCTAATACTAGTATCACTTAACAAAGGGATTAAACACTAAATTAGATATCATTTCGTATTTTCCGTTGATATTTCACGTCATATATATATATATATATATATATATATATATATATTATTGTTAATACAAGGTAATCATAGTCATAGTCCTTTTTATTTTATCTACAACTTGAAAAAGAAAAGAACAAAAGCAAATTAAAATAGGAATAATCAACGTTGAGTTAAGAAATAGCTAACCAAGTCATGAAAAGAAAATTTAGAAAATTTATTTTTGCTTAATATTTTTGTTCTTACCTTATTACGATTTTTAGTGATGGGTTATGTAGCTTTTGTGAGAATGTTAAAAAATTACAAGCTAGAAGCAACCTTCTATGGCACTTGTTGCCCAAAAATCAATTTGGGAGAAGGGGTCTAAAATACCTGAACTAGCTAGAGGACAGTTGATGAGGCTAAGGAACTAGAAGTTATGGCCTTCAATGAACATCAAGTAGATAATCGGAGGAATAATACCATCTAATTAAAAAAGTCTTAGAGTGTGTTTGATGATAAATTTAAATAGAGTAATTCATTCGTTTGAAGAATTTTAAATTCTTTAAGATGAAATACTTTGTTTGAATGAAGAATTTACAAAGAATTTGAAATCCAAGCATTTGTGAAATTTCTTGAAATAGTAAAATTTTAAATTCTTCCAAAAAAGTATGAATTTGAAATTTTTCATATATTTTTTTTTCTTATTTCACTTATATATTTTATCTTATCTCTTATCTCTTCATGTTTTCAATTATTGAATATTCAAAAATACTTTTAAAATTATTAAATATTATCTAATATTAATTTTTAAAATTATTAAATATTTAAAAATTGGTTAATATTTATTTTTATAAAATTTTATTTAAAAATCTCAACATACAAATATATTTTTAAAATCAATTTTACCATGGTAGATTCAAATTATCATATCCAAACTAACAATTTAAAATTTAAGAAATTTGAATTGACTTATCCAAACAAACATTTTAATAATGATAGAAATTGAAATTAAAGTAATTCAAATACCAAGAATTTCAAATTTCTTGAATTTGTAAAATTTCTCATCCAAACACACCATTAATTTAAACCACAAAATGCCTTGCTTGATTATAACAAGTTGATCCAAAATCAAGTAGAAACTCTCACTACATAGATGAACATTAATCTGCAACAAATGTCATTCATGCCCCTAACAAATATTCATCAAGTGTAGTTTATGTGGTGGCTATGTAATGGTCGATGTTAGGTTTCCCACAAAATAATGAGTGAATAAATTATATGAGAAATTTTATTAGACAATGAGGTAGGACTTGTTCTAATAATTATGAATTAATCTCTCTTGGAAGCAAGATGGATATGAATTCAATACTTGAGCTTAACCACCAACTCCACAAATAGATAACTATGTCTAGTTAGAAACTACGTACCCTAAACTAATTAATCTAATTTACTTTCAAAAATCATGAAGCACCCATTAAAGACATGGAAAATTAAATAGAATAGTTTTCGAAGAGATTATTGTTGACATAGGAGAGGGATCATTTCTTGTAATAGCATTGATGATAATCCTAGAGAGACACTTTTTCTCACTCAATCTTCTTGAAGATCAAAAAGTGAAACCCTATTTGAGAGGAAACCCATAGGTCATCTCAAAATTTGCAATACACATTGAAATTGTCAAATTGAGTTGACTCATCCCGTAGGAATTCCTTTTCTTAGGAACTTCAGTTTTTTTGCTAGGATTAATAAGTATGGATAATTACTTTAAATCTTAAAAACAAACATTATGAACAAAAGAGATAAACAAAAACAAGCGAGCATGGGCTTTTAATTCATGATATGCCGATTGTCTCTTTACAATCAAAACCAGGCAATTTGTGAAGAAGAAAAAAATGTGCCATTGTACCACAACAAATAAGCGTGTAGCATAATGGCTAAAGTTGCATGCCAACGTGAGATGATGTGTTGTGGAAAGACTTGAAAGTATTTTGAATTTGCTAACATTGCCCCCCATGATTTCTTATATTGCCCATATAAAAAAGAAAAAAAAAGGATTAGATTAATTTATCTTAGTTCACGGGCTAGTAAATACTAAGCCCAAAAGAAATTGAGTCTATTTAGTTTGAGTTTTTTGCCCCTTTAAATTACAAGTTAAAGTTATTTTAAAAATAAGGTAATCCAATCTGACCAATACGTCAAAATACTAAATAACACGAGAAAGAAAAAAAAAAGCTAGTGTAAAAAATAGTAGATAAACTCATTTCTCACAATTGACTGATGCTAATTTTCAACTCCAAAACATTTGCAGCTAGTCGTGGTTAACATTAAGGATGTGTTTGGAAATCAGTTGAGTTTGATTTAATTGAGATTGAAAAAAAGATAATACTTACAAATTTGTACTTTTTATTTATTTATTGGAATATGTGCTTTTCGTTGAATGTGATTTTAAACCAATATTCAAACATATATTAAATAATTAGCACTTAGTAGTAATGTAGGGATCCAAATGATCAAAGGAAAACACTTTTTAAGGTCATTTTCACCCATATCCATAGAGGCTGAAATGATCGATTCTAACACTTTGATTCATAGATCAAAATGATAGTTCATGCGAGGGGAAAACACTGTAAGATAAGATTAAACCTTCTATCAAATTCAACATATCTATTTTTCTTTTAAATAATACAAGGAAACAATACTTAAAATGTGAAACGATTTTCATCATGTTGCAAAACCATATTATATACAAAAGTCAGTAAATTCCCAAAAATCATGGATGCAAACTAGACTAGGGTTTGAGACGCCTTCAATTCTCAAGCCGATGAGCAATTGTGTCAAGAGATGACGCAAGATAACATTGGGAGCTTAGCTTACGACAGAATAAAGAAGAGAAAAAAGAGCAAAAGTAAAAATACCAATACCATACAATATATGTTCATTCCAAACCTGAAAGAAATAACAAAGTACAAACAAATGCTGCATGTGAAAATGAAGCAGGAAGCAAAAGCTAAACACTTTCCATGAACTCTTTCTTTCTTTCTTTCCCTTGCACTCATTTTGTTTGTATGAAACTATGTCATTCAATCATCAGTATTCATCTAAGTAACTGTATAGCATGTCATCCTTCTTAGACTTGCGCCTGCTTAGCAAGGACTTGAGAAGACGCTTACTTTTACTGGGGTGGTGCTGTTCTACGTCTCTCTCAGCAGGTAATCGCATTGAAGCTGATTTCCGCGGCTCTGAAGCGTACTGATAATATATGGACAGAAACCATAAGTATTGGTGAAGTATACGAGAATATCAATGTTATATAAGATTTTCATAGTAGATATAAAAGTTTAGACACTTCATCGACATGTATCAGTGAAGTATCTTTGAGTATTAATATTGGATATAGATACTGATTTGCATTGGTGAAGTATCTAAGAGTACTGGTATTAGATGCAGTTTTATAGATAGGTGAAGTAAATTGAAGTATCAATTGTTCCATAGTTGGCATCATATTGCAAAAAGTGAATTGAATTCAGCTTAATAAATTAATTACCCTTAATCTTTCATCAGAAGGACTTGGTGTGGTGGGTCTCCTGGCTGAGTTTGGAGTAGTTGGTCTACTACTAGTCTTGGGTGTTGTAGGCCTACTTGATAGAGATCCAGTGCGTAAAAGTGGAAATCTGTATGGTGAAACTGTTCGCTTCTCTGCAAATTGCAGTTCAAATGCTAATAAGAACACACATAGATCTTTAACTTTCATGTTAAAATGGCAAAGAAATATTTGGTAGACCACATAATAGTTGAATGAATAATAAGATATCAAATGATTATTGAAGTTATTCCAAACCCCGCCTTAGTAGAAGCCTCTTTGAGACTATCTTAATTGCATACTTGATTCATGAAAAGTTGAACTTAGAATAAAAATTGAACTCAGTTTGATAAATGAGTTGAACTTAACAATGTATAATTCAAGTTGATATTAGACATGTTTAGTCTCACATAAATTAAAGATACCATGAATGTTTATAAGCCATGGACAGTCATTTCCTTTTATGTTACCTAAATCTTTTTTTGTCATGGTTGAAGTGAATGAAAATGCTCCTGCTCTCTGAGGTTGCAAAGAAGGTGATGGGGAACTCCCTTTGCTGCATCAACATAAAGAGTTGTGTGAACATGATTTTGTGGCTAAGGAAACCTATGTTATCCTAGAATGTTACGCAGAATATGTAATCACCTCTCTGTAGATGTTGGCGTTTCTCGTATGGTGGCTCGAACAGCTTTGGTATGCAAATCAGAATAATATATATAAATATGTTAACTTATGTTTAAGATTTTAGAGTGAAAATAGGGGAGAGAAAAATGAGATACCATTTCTGAAGTGATGCCAGTCATCTTCATCATCTAGGCTGCATCCCATGTATTTTGATTTTGTTAAATTGGCACCACGTAGTGTCTCCCCAGCTGAAATGGGGTCAATATACATCACACACAAACACAAATTATATGAATAAATATCTTAGAGAGAAAATTATGTGGGGCTCATAATTTTTGTTATAACTTTCAAGAAATTTTAACCAAGAGGATAAATTATTAGATGGTCTCGGACGACATAATTTTTAATTAATCTTTACATGACATATAATTAAGTTTAATTAATTTTTTTCATAAATTTAAAAATAATAAAATGACACATAATGATTGATTGAGACTATGATCACTTGCTGATTCTAAATTACTTAATAATTTCTAAGACAAGAGGGTGTATTAGAAAAAAGTGTGTTAGATATTGTATTGATAGTATAAAGGGAGAAAAATAAAAGCTTTTCCTTAAGTGATCTTTGGATTGATGGAAAGGTTGGAATGGAGTGTAGTGGAATGAAATGGCACTAGGTTCTATTATTTGGATTGTTCAAAATAGGACAAAATAGAATGGAAGCCAATGACATGCATTTTATTCCATTTTTTTTTTTGTTCGTCCCTGGAGGCACCTCAAAGGGTGGGATAGCTGGCACCAAGATTTAACGCGGCTGCATACACAAGACAGGATTCGAACCCCTAACCTTGCTTAAGCGTAGATCAACCCCTACCGCTGAACCACACGCTTGGGGTTGCATTTTATTCCATTTGAGGAACCAAAATTGTCTTTTTTTTTTTTTTTTTCATTATACAGATATCCAGAAAGAATTGTAATTAACTTTCATCCATTTCATTTTCAAATATAGCTCAAAATTTGAAGAGAGGTGAGGATAATGTTTTATAATCTTGCCTGGCAAAATATAACGTTTATGATATTTTGGAGCATCAATCACCGATGATTGCTGGGTACAGCCCTCATGATCCATGAATGCTTGGCACGTCCTTATTCTCTAATAATGTTCCACATTAAGGAAAAACAATGTTAACAAGATTTGTGGATGATTCAAAGCTCTTCTATAACTATATTATGCTGAAATACTTCATAAAAAAAATGTTCTCATTGATGAAGTACAACACGACTTACTGAAATTAAGATGTTTAGTAAACATGCTGTCACATAGTATTAGTCAACGAAAAAGATAAGATCATCCAAGTTTGTTGATGATTTCATTCAATAACTTGGTAGTAAATTAATTAATCGTTAATATTTGCAATTATATTATTTTCCTGAAGCGGAATGAAAAGTGTAAGTATACCTGTTGAATACATGATAAACGTAGCTCTGTCTCAGAAACTTCAGCAATCTTTTCATCTAACAAGTCATTCACCTTATAGGTCACAGACCCTAAATGATCCACCGTATTTATAAGAGCTTTGATGGCATAATCCTTCAATGTTTCAATCACTCTGCAAACATGACAGAAAATTAAAAGTAATGAAGGGTATAAATGATCTATAATAATGTCAAAATAAGGTCCAGTTCAGCTAAATTTCTCTTAATAAGTGGAAAAAACAAGAAAGTTACATGAATTAAACTTGACCCATAAGTATGTGTACCTTTAAATATCATAAAACTAGAGATGTTTAAACTAATTAGGATCAGATGTAATCATGCTGGGATATTTAAAAATTATCTCCAAAAGAATATGAGATTTTAATACATCCAAATACATGTAAATAACCTCTTCCTAGTATTAAGAGGCCATAATTTATACATATTGAGTATTCTAATTCTAAACATAAATAATCTCTAGTTTTAAATGTTTTCCATCCCAGAATAATATGCATAAGTTAAAATTAACTTTTAAAGAAACTAAATAAGACAATATTTATAAATTAACTTATGGGTAAACTACTATAAATTTAATTCATCTTATCTTACTATTTTCTTCTCATGCTAATTGTAATTGAAAAATTTGTCTGAACAGGACCTAAATATAGACTAACTGAAGCAAAGAAGGTAACTCACATCTGTTTCTGGTCATCATTGGCGTAAGAGAGTTCAAAATATTCAGCTGCTGAGTATAATTGTGTTCTCAGATTTTTCAAATCCTTGTAATATATATGGAATATGGATATATCAAAAATACAACTTGAGAATTCTATCAGGTACAGAATATTAAAACAAAATAAAATGAGGCAATGTACCGAAGTTACCTTTAGACTATCATCAAAGAGCAAGCTCTGTTGCATGAAAACTTCATCATAATTTGAAGCCTCTCGAGATAAAGGTTGCATTGCGATCTTCCCCATGAATGAAAAAGATGGAAAATGGTACCTAGTTTTATCATAAATAAATAAAAAAAACAAAACAATTGATGCTTAAGAAAAATAGACACAATATGAATGACAATTTTGAAGAAACAAGAGAGTAAGGACTAATAAGATGATGAAAACACCAAAACTGATATTCTTTTCAAAACCATGCACTGCATTAAGAAATAATTAAGCAGAATATATGCAATATAACACAAAAAAAAAAAAAAAAAAACTCAAACAGATTCCATAACTTTGTCTGAATCTTGAGTCATGTATTGTAGTACAAAAACTTGAATCTCAAAAGTGAAACAAACATGACCCTAAACTACATCAAAAGTTGTAAAATTATAATCCCACTTAGAAAAAACAATAAGGAAAAGATGGTGATTACTGAATTAACAAGAGACTCTCACCCTTAACTACTTGTTGAGCTAAGTTGGAAATGAAATGTTATGAGAGAGATGAAATCAGTTGGCATTTGAAAATGTCAAAAAGAGAGTGAGAGAGCACGTTGTGGACCCTTTCTTTCACTCCAACACTTACCACTGTGGTTTGGTACCTAATTTTTTTCTAAGGTTGAGGAAAGTGATAGGTGAGACATTTTTTTTTTAACTACATTTGCGGAATCAAGAGAAGTAGAGATAACGACAACAGTACGAGAACTGAGAGCAAATCACGCTCGGATAGATCCTCGGAAACCAGAATGTCTGTTCCATTTTTTTCTTTTTTTTAATCATTCGAAAGATTTACAACAGTTCATGCAACTGAGTTAGACTTTTTTTGGTATATTCAATTTTGCTTAATAATCAATAAGTTTATTGGTGTATAAGTATGAGTTAGAATCTCATATTGAAAATAACTGAATAATGATAGTTTTAGATTAAAATGCAATGTTGATTTACTTGTGTATTATACTCATGATCAATGTAAATTGTGTGGTGAGAGCATACTATACATAAGAGATTCGCATTTGATAAAAAGATTGTTGGTGTATGAATGAGAGATTTAAACCCAAAATAAACTATATAAGAATTCTCTATACACAACAAAGGTTAGTGACATTTTATCTTTTTTTTTTTTTTTTCATTTCTTCAAATTTATTATTTGCTAATTTGGCCTTCCACTTTTTAATTAAGAAATTGTAATGCATTTATTAGTTTAATATATAATATCTATCAAAAAAATATTGACATTACACTATTTTTTATTTATTAATTCATGAGAATCAAACTCAATATAAAAAAAAATAATAATAACACTGAAGATACCAAAGGAAAAAAAAAAAAAAAAGAAGAAGAAGAAGAAAGAAACTTACCTCCAAATTATACTTTTAATATGGCCGATCTGATGACATGGAATTAATTAACTTTCTACGAGTAGGGAGTCAAGAATCACAAAGAAAATGAGAAACGAAATTGAGCAAAATAAAAGGACAAAAGTGAAGCTAAGGATAATTAATAATTATAATTAATATAGGAACAAAGTTGTCTCGAGAGGCAAAAAGTAGGCACTTGTAATCATTGACCTCTTGTGGGTCTTGTTTTTCTAATGGCTTGTTTGATTTCTGAAAACGGAATGACGAATGAGTAGAATACACTAGTGTTTGCTTTTTACCTTTTTTGACTTCTTTTCAACAAAAGTGGAATGGGCAAAAGGGGCAACAATCATTCAAATAATAAATTATTTACATAAAGAAGAAAACTTGAAATTTGTTTACCCGCGTATTATTATTAATTTTTTTAAAAAAAATTAATCACTAAAAAAGTAGTTTATTTTCTTAAAATATCATTATGTTAATCTTTATGAAGTAATAATTGTTGGTACAAGGGATACCGAATAATTGTCCAGTTCTTGTTGATAAAAAAAAAATAGAAGAAAAAAAAACGTCATCGTTTCATAATGTCGTTTTTCGTATTAATTAAAAATAAAAAAGATAATCAACAAAACAAATTAGAAGAGTAATTTGAGAATTAATCAAATTCTTGAGGAGCTGATTTCATAACAAGTTTTTTGAAAAGTCTATGTGATGATACTTATAATTTTAAATGATAGGCTTCAAGTTTACTCAAAATAAAAAAAGCAAAATATATTTTCTTCATAACATGTTTATTTCAAATATAGTCAAATTTTAAAAAATAAAAATACTAAAATTTAAGATAATAAAAAATGTAAGTATACTTTACTTAATATTTAAATATATTTTTAGTATTTTCAGACATTTTTCTATTGAACCTCTGTTTATGAAGTTTCTTCTTCTTCTTCTTTTTAATCCTTGGAATCTGCAATGCTCTTTTAAAATTAAATCTCAATCCACAATAAGAGATCACAATTTGGGCGACTTGTGACTGGCAATTTTTTTTCTTCTATTTTATATTTAAAAGTACAATTTCCTTGGAATAAAAAGAATCAAGTCAATTAAAAAAATTAAAAATCCATTAACCGCTTAATTTTTTTTTTTTTTGGAGTTGATTCTAACGATTTAAAATAACAAGAAATCATACTTTAAGATTTAAGATAGAAAATCAGTCACAAATTTTATGTCCTGTTTGGCTCCCACTGTGAGGAGGGACTAAAAGGAGCTTTCTATATATTTCATGAATAAAAAAAAACTACAAATTTGAGACTAAAAGAAAATGACTCAAATTAAGTGATTAAAATCGTATTTACGCTTTTAGTTCGAAGGATACTAACTTAAAATTGAAAAGAAAAAAAACTAGAACATTGATTGAACCCATTTTGCCACCTTTAAATAAAATAATATTTGAAATTAGAACATAACTATTTTTCAATTCTTAACAAGCAGATGATAAAATACTAATTCCTCATCTAATAATAAAAATGTAATCTAAATTAAAGTAGCAAAGTTCGTTTTCAGAAGTCATGGAAAAGCATGAGAGCATCATCGAGTTTCATCAATGATGCTCCTAGGAGCAACCAGACATTTTGCAGCCGTTTGTATTTCTTCTGCAGTGGTCCTGGCTCCTTTAGCTTGTCTTTAGGAACATTTAAAAGCTGAAACAATTAGCAATAACATTTTAGTATGCAACAGTCCACAGATAATGAAACTCAAGGCAGCAAATGTAATCAAGAGAGAGAATCATTAAATACAGTATGAGACCCATTAAATTTTATGTTTTCCAATAGATTTTAATCAAGCAATGTGTGTTTGAAAGAGTGTGTAA